AGGATGAGTTATGTGTATTATTTATGTTCCTCTATGTATTACTCACGGGACTTACTTTAATTGTCGGGTCTTACACTTACGTTGGAAACTCTTTAATTATGCAATTGTTCAGCATTTGTTTTGGCAATGTAACATCAGTGTACCTATATGTTAACTCTAATACCCAAAGTCTGGGTAATATTTCATATTTATTACTGTTCTTCTATTTAATATTAACTGGTTTCATATTGTCCGGCTTTACACTTTTGTTAAAATCCTATCAAGTGTGTAACAGCAAGTAATATTCAGCATTTGCATCTGCAATGTAACATCATTGTTATCTTTCTGTAACTCTTTATTACTCCTTAAGCTAAGCAGTAAATTTGTACATATTGTATCATTTTGTAAAAACTACACTTTTTATTTTGAAAATAAAAGCCGACGCAGACACCATAAATCTCCCCTTTCACCACCTTTCCTATCTCACTTTTATTTCACCTTCATCTCTACTCTACTACTACTTTTCTTTAATCTTCACCCTCGGGCAATACCCATGGGTAGTTACGAGTCTTCATCCCCTTTCTGCTAAAATGTCACTAAAATGTATTTACCAATGTTACGTTATCACACTTCCAATCGAGGAACCACCCTGCTTCGTAATTTTCAGTTCTGGGCAGATATAACCATTGGAACATAAAATCATATCATTCACATTTTTAATAATAAATTTATATTTGCTGATTCCTTTTCATCGTCGGTAACTGTCTTCTCTATGCCATATGTACTCAAAACTTTCGATTTCGTTGTAATAATTTGAAAGAGTTAAATCCCAATCTTTTTCCATTATTAGTATAAAAATTTTTTAAATCTTGTTCCATATAAACTTTGCTTAGTTAAAATATTCCTTACTCTATATTTCACAGTCGAAGATTTTGTTAGATAAAATACTCTCAAGTATATTTTTAACAAACTGCTTCGTCTTATCCTCAACCACAGATTTGGCCTGACTGCCTATTATTTGTAATAACTTCTTGCCGGCTGTCTTAATTTCATCAATAATTATATTTTCACCATAATATTTTTTGCTTCAAACTAACAGTCTTTGTTTATTATAATTCATTTATTTAGTTTAATAATAAACGAAAAACAACTCTCTGTTTATTAAGGTCAATCAAATTATCATCCTGATCAGTTATCTACATTCGAATTCTATAAATATAGTAATCTCTATTGATGTCAACAAATATGGGGTTAATCTCTTCAATTTTTATCAAACTTCCAGGTGGATGAAACGGTGTAAAAGAATAAAGAATATCACTCGTGAAATCGTTGTACTCTACTCCGCTGATTACACCGCAATGATTATCATCGATTCCTTTTGATATATTTTTTTTCTGTTCTTCGTCTTCGTATAACTTTTGTTCGAAACCTAATATCTCATGGAGTTTACCTTTACTCAGATCAATTTTATATCCAGGTTTTAAATGAATTATAAATCTCGTTGTTGCAAAATGAATTTCAAACTTTATAGGAGGCTCGTTTATTCCAAAGAATTTTACTAAAACATTATTCAGTTGTCGAAGAGTGTAATTTCCGTTTTCTCTAGCATTATAATTCCTTATATGCTGTGTTCGTACTATTAAATAGTAACATATTTAACACTCTTTTATCCCATTAGAATATAAGCGCAGATGGGATCAAATCTCAAGATGTAATTTTTACAATAAACGAAATGTCAAGTGGACATCGTATGGTCATCTCCATTGTTCCTATCTAGATCATCAGTTCCCCGATAGAAAAATAATCTAATAGTGGAAAGGTCGATGTTAAAAAACCAGTACAATAATATTGTGCAACGCAATAGACGTTCGATGTTACTTATCCTGTACGTCAGAATAGAATCGTGTAAGAACAGGATTCTCGTCTTTTTTAAACTGGTAACGGCCTAGAAAGACCGTCGAGGAGGCCACCGTTGGTTTGAATTAGCAGCGAATTCGTTTCAGGTCAGAGACGGATAGCAACAATAAGTGAGGCAAAAATTACAAGTTGGAAAAATTATGTTACTTCGGAGTGTAATAAGAAATTTTGGGTTTACACTATAAGTTAATGCGTGATAAGGTTAAGGTAAAAGATATGGTTAATATTATTAGAAATACGGAAAGATTTTTAATGGATTGAGAAAAGTCGGTGAGATTTTTATTGGATTCGTTATTTGTGTCAGATGATGACTCATTAGATACGCCATATCAAATTAGTGTTCGGAGAGATAATGATAAAGTGTGTTTCAAATTTATACGGACACGAAAAAATTAAAGTGAAACCCAAATTTGCTGCATTAAGTGACAAATGTTTTATTAAAAATAACATGGATTTACTTTTTTCCACACTGAAAAATAATGATTTTAATTCAAACATTAACATTTTGTTACTGAAAATAATATTTTTTAAAATTTTGTACAAAAAAACTGTTACATATTTATCCGGACAGATTTCAAATTGCAAAGTTTTCTTACAATTTAATGGCCAATGTAACCACCATTTAACTTAATTACATTAAATACTCGATTAGGCATTGTTTCAATTAGATTCTGAAGTAATTCAATTTTAAGTTTATCCCAAGCATTTGAAATTGCTGCCTTCGAATCATGAATTGTGGGAAAACTGCTTTCCATTGGCATAAACTGTACGAACCATCATCACCCAAAGATTTTCCGTCGGATACAGGTCAGGGCTTCTAGCAGGCCATGTCATCAGATTAATATTTTTACGTTTAAACTAAATTTTTGTTGATTTAAAGGCAGGCACAGGATCATTGTCTTGTTGAAAGATCCAATTTGGTCCACAAATATTTAGTCCAGCTTTCAATAAATGATCTTCAAGCATGCCTTGATACTTCTCTGAATTCATTCTTTAAGTTATAAATGCTACATCCGTGGATCCATTGAATCCAAACGCACCCCACACCATTATTGATTTCCCACCCATTTGGCGTTTTGAAAATATTCGTTTTTCGGTTCTTAAATCGTGCCAATAATACTTTCAACTGTCTGGACTATCTAAGATGAATTGTTTTTTATCACTGAACAAAACTTCAATCCATTCTTTGGACTGTCATGTGTTTTTGTGCCCAATCAAGTCTGTCACTTTTGTGCTTTAATGAAAGTGGTGGCATTATAGCTTTTTTTCTGAATTTTAATGTTGGAGATTTATTTAAAACTCTCCACACTGTTGTGCAGCTACAAGGTAAGTCTAATTCTTGTTTTATTTTTCTTACTGATGTTTGTTTTGTGGAGCAAACCTTGATGATTTGTCTTCAATCTCGAGGTATGAGCTTGGGTTTTGAACCTGTCTTGAATTTTGGTACATCCTAGCCACGTCTTTTTGATAAATAATCACCAACAGTTGATTTTGGACGATTTATATATGCTGCAATTTCTCTTATTGACTTGCCTTGTGATTTATAGGCATCAATCTGCTCTTTTTCATAATCAGATAAATTCTTTGTTCTACCCATTTTAGAACGTTGAACAACATAAAGAATTTGTATTACAATTAGATATGTAAGCTGATTTGTATATTTCAATGCTTGAAACTAAACAATATTCTATTTAAGTCATGAAATGAGTGCCTGTCCGGATAAATATGTAACAGTTTTTTTGTACAAAATTTTCAAAAATATTATTTTCAGTGACAAAATGTTAATGTTTGATTAAAATTCTTATTTTGCAGTATGGAAACAAGTAAATCCATGTTATTTTTAATAAAACATTTGTCACTTAATGCAGCAAATTTGGGTTTCACTTTAATTTTTTCGTGTCCGTATAAATTTGAAACACACCTTAGGTATAAAACTGAAAAGACCCTAGATTTATTTACTAAACAGGAGGTTCTTAGAGTATTAAGGGATTCTAAAAGACGTAAAGCTCCGTGAATTGACGGTTTAACGTATAAGATACAAATGATGCTTTACCAATAATAGGAAAACATTTATTACAGTTATTTAATATATGTTTAATATATAAGATTTTTCCAAATAGATGGAAGGTATCACGTGTTATTATATGTTTAAAGGATAAGATCAGAGATAGATCTACTCTAAAATCTTATAGGCCAATCTACAAATAATCAAATTGATGAAACGAAAATTGGAGACGATCGATATTCTCGCCAAATTTGATTGGTCAACAGATTACTGTTTGATAAATGAAAAGATTTGTCATAACGAACATCTAAAAAATTTAACATATATTTTGAATTGGTGCAGGCGTAAAATTAGATGAAGTATTGCTGAAACATGAAAACTTATCTTACTTGCAAACAAAGAGAGCGATTTGGACGTTCCTCGCTTCATGATCCCTTTCGAGGTAGACATTTAATTCCCCAAATAACAGCTAGATAAAAGTACATTAACCACAAATAAACAGACGTCCCCGTCTTACCCCATGACCCCATCTTGCACCACCTTCCCCTAATTGCCGTGTCGAAATGATAACGTTCAACCTACCTGCAAACGATGCGCATCAATCGAATCGACATTGATGATTGTATACAGTAGAGTGGTAGCGAGAATAGGCTGTGTCATTTTATGCTCTCCACTTGAATCGCAATTTTGGAGGGAATTTTGGATACACTCTTACATCAGACACATCGTTCGAAAGAGCTAACAGAGGTGGTTCGTATACCATTTAAAATTTCGGCTAGGACAATTAGGGGAGGAGCTAGGGGGATTTGAAATTCGCGTTTTTCGGATAGATCTAACGGGTGGGTATAAATCAGAGGGGGACGGAAATTAGGAGTTTTATTTAGCTTATTAGTATTTATATCTGGTATAAATTTGGGGTTGCTGGGTTTATTTTTTGGGAAGATATTCCGGTTTAAAGTTTCATAATTGTTAGTTACAGATAAATTTAAACATAACGGTTTAACTGTCAACAGATTTTAACGGTCGCTTCTGTTTTAACGGTTTCTTTAACAATTGTTTATTCTCATAACGGTCGTTTTAAATTTATGTTTTTTTTTAGACGGACACTATTTCATTCACCTCAGAGTAGGGGTGACAGTTTTTAGGAGGGATTAATTTTAAATTTATTCTAATTTTAGTTAAAATTTTGGGTTTAACTTTAATTTATCGATTATTTAACTTAATTTAATTGGCTACTTGGGATATTTTTATAGTATAATCTTTTTAATATAATTATATACTGTAATTAATTTAATTTAACATACGTTTATTTTGTGGGTTTTGTTGGTAAAACTTCTTCTTAAGGTTTAGTATTGCATTTCACTTTCGAGGAGTATTTGAGGTCTAGTTTAAGTATTTCCATAGTTATAATTATTGTTTTATTGACTCGGTATTCATTGACGTTGGGTGTGTATTTTGATTACCTTATTGGGTTTATTATGGATACCACCATGGGAGAAACAAGGGTATTAAGAAATTTAATGGCAAAGGGCACACAACCGAGGATTTCCGATGAAACCTTAGTTAATGATACATCGCCCTGTACAATTGAGAGTAAAATCCTTAAAGATGCAAGAACTCAAATGAGACGTATTCTAGATCTCTTACCTGAATCGTGTCATAGAAACATTAAAACAAGAGAACGTAAAGAAATTAAGGACAAGGTGACGCAGCTTTTTGCGTCGGTGCATCAAATGTACGGAATTGTATCAGCATATCGTGTAGAAAGAGAGGAACAAAACAATATACTTCCTAACTTATTAGAAACAATGAATGAAATAAAGATCAAGAACTCTCAACCCAACCAATTTGCTGGGCACCTTACTTACGCTGAAGTAACAAAATCCAACTTGAAACCAAGCAATACGACGAAAACCATTAATAACAATGGTGAACAAGGAGGCAATAGCGCTGTACTGGTGTACCCAAGTGATGAAGAAGAAGGTGCGCGAACAGACATAAAAGAGATCACAGAGCAGATTTTTGATAAAATTCAGCCACACAAAATAAGGGTTAAAATCAAAGAAGTTAAATTAATAAGAGACAATGGTGTGTGCATAAGGGTCGGGAGTGAAGAAGATGGGAAGAAACTAAAAGAGGAAATAGGAAAGATTCAAGAAATAAAAGACAAGATTAAATGTAGAACATCGGGAGGCAAACGACCAAGGGTAATATTACTAAACGTCCCACAGTGTATCCCTGAAGAGGAGATAATAGAAGTAATGACCAGACAAAATGACATTTGGAGGGGTCTGGAAAAAGATAACATAGAAGAAAAATGTACCATTAACACAGTTATCAAAGGAAAGAAAACAAAGGAGAACTGTCATCACGTTGTAATCTCTGTAACTCCGAGCATAAGAAATATACTGATAGCTCACAAGACAATATCGATGGCTTGGACCACAATAAGAGTGGATGACTTTGTACCAGTGAGACGCTGCTACAGATGTTGTGGTTTCGGACATATGGCACGTGATTGTACCGAGCAGCAGAGGTGTAGTCACTGCTCAAGAGGTCATCGCTTCAAAGAATGTCAATTAACAAACACCATCCCATCTTGTCATAATTGCAAATTAACTAACAGGAACCTCCCGCCGGAAAAGAAACTACCGACGAATCACAACGCATTCAGTGCTGAATGCCCAGTGCTAATAAAACTGAAAACACAGATCATAAAAAGAATTGACTATGGAATATAGAAACAAACAAATAATCACTCGGTTACCCAAAGGCACTACTATGCAAAGAAATAAACAAAATAGTAACGACAATGCTTCTGATAATTCAACTCTGTCAATCNTGAACCGGCACTTCTATACGGTGTACAGATTTGGAGAGAAGCCTTAAATAATACACATCTGAAAAGAAAACTTTTATCTGTACAAAGAAAATCAGCCATCCGTATTTGCAAATCTTACTGCACAGCTCCAACAAACGCGCTTCTTGTGATGGCCAACTTGACACCTATTCATTTGGAGGCAAATAGAAGAATTTGGAAGTGGTTCCTAATGAATAAAAACTTTTCTGGTAGTTCTGAAATGGAAATCTCAACACTTCAAGACAAAGGGATACTACCACCAGAAAATATGAACTTTAAGTCACACATTGTCCACAACAATATCGACAATATACCAAATGAATTTAATTTTATGACTGACCCAAAAGCAACTCACCCATATGAAATTTCCTTAGACTTCAAAGAATCAACAGCAAATAATAATAAAAAAAACAATTGATAGCCTTTACTGATGGGTCAAAGGGAGAAAATGGTGTAGGATCAGGTGTGGTAGTCAAGAACAGTGAAGGAAGAACTTTATACCAGGCAACGTTCAACTTGCAGATCATTGCTCAATTACTCAAGCAGAATTATGGGGTATATTTAAAGCCCTCACTTACATCAGTCAGCTCTCTCACACAAACTATAAAGAACTAATTGTCTTTACCGATAGTAGAGCTGCTCTACATATACTAAGAAGAGAAAATAACAAATCAGCCCTAGCTAAAGAACTCATAAATTTGGCAACAAAATTAGGAAAACAACTAAAAATCTCCTTCAATTGGATTCCCGGTCACGCTGGCCATGCGGGAAACGAGTAAGCTGATAAATTGGCGAAAAAAGCCTCAATTGCACATACTAAAATAACGTACTGGCGTCTTCCTATCAGCTCAATAACTAAGTACATCAACCAACAAATTTGTGCTTTATGGCAAACAGAGTGGGAAGAATCACCCACTGGAAGGTTGTGCTTCAAATTCTTCCCATCCATCGAGGACAGACAGAAAAACAGGATATTCAAACCATCGTTCCAAACAACACAATGCCTGACAGGGCATGGATGTTTTAACTCATATTTGTACCGTTTCAAGAAGAGAGATTACAACCATTGCGACGCAGACACGAACAACGAAGATACCGTTCATCACTTCCTCTTCGAATGCACCAAATACACAACCCTCAGAGAAAATTTCGAGAGAATATGTATCACAGAAGGGAAAAACTGGCNACTGAAAACACAGATCATAAAAAGAATTGACTATGGAATATAGAAACAAACAAATAATCACTCGGTTACCCAAAGGCACTACTATGCAAAGAAATAAACAAAATAGTAACGACAATGCTTCTGATAATTCAACTCTGTCAATCAATAGTAACTACGATGTAAACTCTTCACATCTGCGTATTTTACAGATAAATATGCAACACAGTAAAGCGGCAAGCTCACTCGCAATAAAGACGGCCAATGACCTAGATGTAAACCTATTAATAATACAAGAACCTTATACTTTGAACAATAAAATAGTAAGCTTCGGAGGATGGAGTATTAACTACAAGAAACGGAGAAAAACCACAAAGTGGTATAATAGTCAGAGACAACAACCTAGATGCTGCTTTAACAGAGGCGGCATAAGGCGTGGGCGACGTGGGCCACCGCCTACGGCCTCGCGGTCCGAGGGGCCTCGCGCCTCGAAGGTTTACGCATTACTTAAAAAAGCTGTGAACGCAACGGAAAAATTTTACTCGTCATAAAACGATAAATATATTGACATAAGAGACCAAGAAAACGAAAGGCTAATTCGTGAATCTCAAAAACATTAGCACAATTTGTTTGAGAGATTAATTGATATCATTAATTTCTTATCCTCTCATAATCTGGCATTAAGAGGTCACAGAGAATCTCTCAAGACAGACGACGGCACTAGGAATTCTGGTANGGGAAAAACTGGCCGCCAAAAGAGAACGAACTTATAATGAATAACAAACTTTTTAAAGCATTTGAGAAGTTTATACAGGACAGTGGTGCATTAGTACCTCAGTTTGGTGACCTGAATTTAAATATACTCAACACAGATACAACAGAAACTAATGACAGTGATGACGACAATAACTACAATTCCTTCACAAGCGATGAAGATTAAAGAAAAATGTTAAAAATAAAGACTGTTATATGTATATAAATTCAATTGTGCTACGAATAACATAGTGTGATTATTAAGTTATAAGTTATCTTGTAAAAATTTCTTGTTAAAACTTTATGGATTTCGATCTGTATGATTACATCAAAAATTCTTTGTCAACTGATTACTAAATGTATTACTTTAAAATTATACCTGTTGTATATTTAATATTTCATTAATGTAATAAGTATTGCATCCCATTCTAAACTGTTATAACTGTAAATATGTATAAAATTATTCAACCAACCATTCGAATTCCTATTATGTAAGCAAAAATTTACTGTTTAATAATGTAACCAAAACTGTATTTATCCATTGTGTTCAATTATTATTTATTTATCCATTAATATGTTTGTATATACTTTGATGCAAAAGATATGCATCCTTCTGTTAATTGCATCTGTATGTAAAAATGTTACTGTTAACTATTTGTATTCCTCTGTAAATATTGTTTTAATAAAGGCGATGCGGGCGCCCATGGGGTCCTGTGGGGGCCTTATGGTTGCTTATTTCACACTTTCCTATCTTCCTTTATTTCCTCTTCTCTCTAACTCTTACTTTCTTTTACTCTTCCTTCCTATTCATACAGGGGTAAAGTCTGCACTAAATCGCAGATAGCCCCTCTTGTCTTTTATTAGAATAGAATAGAAATAAAAACCCAGCGAAGCGGGTCCTTGCAGCTAGTAAAATAAATAAAAATAAATCATTCTAAAAATATAAGAATATGATCATATTGTTTAATGTATCAACAATATTAATCTGTGCACACATGCTTAAAGTGGCACAACAAAAGAATTTTCCCACTATACAACCTATACAATTTCATTTATTTACTATATAATCACAATAATAATTCTTAATTATGAATATATTATTCCAATTACTGTAGCACTATTAACCTGCAATATTGTGCAGTTTTTCCTAATATGCATACATGCATAAGATAGAGATTTTCAAATGATTTTTCTCACTTAATTACGCTGCATATAATTATCATTCGTTGAATTTGACAATTCTGGAAAATCCTGTAATGTCTCTTCTTCACATGTACAAAATTTCAAATGTCATATATTGTTTAGTTTTTGAGATATTGTTTCGCTACAGAACAATGTCCTTTCAAGGACATTCTTTGGGAGCCATTGACACTTTGTGATACATGGTTTAATGCAAAATGAATTCAGCAGGAGATAAATGACAGACAGACTAAGGTGTTTCTCAGAAAACCCCAAAAATGATTTTCTTTATTTTTCACACACAAAATAAAGCCACAAAAACATTTAAATTGTTGAAAGTCATAGTGTCCTAGGCTATCTTAGATATTCAAATTATGAAAAAAGCCAAAATATATTCCATAAAATTTTCATTTTAAATAATTTCATTTACAAATAAGCAATAAGCATTAAAATATATAATAAAAATTTTCCAAAAACTTGTAAATAATCAAATACAATACCAACCAGTAGCATCAACTACAGATCCATCTTTTTCCTCTTGCTTTTCAGATACTTTAGAAGGTTCAAAAACTTCTGAATTATCTTCTACAACAAAATTAGATGGAAATACACCTTCTTTGCCTTTCAAAATACCTCTCCACCAGCCTTCTTCTACCTCTTCTATTACTCTAATAATATCATTTACTTGTAATTCTAATTCATCATCATTTGCAGGAGTATAACTATATAAAACTCGTGCTCTTCTCTGCCTTACAGTTTCTGAAATTGTGTAAAATAATTTATAATTCAATTCAAACTTTATAAAAAATAAAATCATGGTCTAAATTTCTCATTTCATTTTAAATTTCATTACTTTTTTAAAATGATATTTTATATTTTAAGAAAGTACAAAACTGCCTTAAAATGCAAATAAATCTAAATTAACGAGCAATTATTTTATTGTGACGTCATCACAATGCCAGACTGTAATTTTTAATCATATTTTTAATTTAATTTAATATACAGGTAACCCCCATATAACATGGCACTTCTATGGCAAGGATTCACTCTAACACGGTTCGAGAATTGGGAACATTCCCCGTATAACACAGTGCTTTTATAGCACGGGTTCACTCTAACACGGTTTGGGAATTGGTTAAAACCCTCGTACAACATAAAATGTAATAAAGGGTATGTTCTTTTTTATACCTCTGCGTAATTCCATGCGAGCATTCTAATTGTTTTCATGGCTACTTTGAATGCTCTTTCAACAAATAATCCATTTAATGGTTAAATTTTACAATTGGGACCCTTCTTTTGCCTCTAAAAGCTCATTTTAGAATTATAGATTCCTCCACACGATACTATCGATAGTGCGGGCACCACCATCTTTCTTTCACCATCGTTCCTAAATGCCTACAAACAGCAGCACACTCCCATTACAGAGCGACCACTATTAACGAACGCACCCACGAACTGTTACCAGTTGATGATGGTCATGCTGATCATAGAATATGAATAATCCTCTGGTAAAATATTTACTTAATAATAAATATTTTATCTATGAAAAAAACGAATAATAAATCCAATTTAAATAAGGATTTAACAACATGTTTTTTAATTTTTTGAACCTAAACCCCCTTTTCGCACAAGTTCTTTGTTTTGTATAACACGAATTCGCATAACACGGCAATTTTCCGGAATGTGACTCCCACGTCATACGAGAGTTACCTGTATTCTCCACTTCATACTTTTCTTGTTAGCAATAGGATTGTGCTGATCATCTAACTCCTTTCAGGGGAAAATTTTTGAATTGAAATAACACACCTTCTGATGCAAAACAGAAGTTCGTATATAGTTAATCAGGGCCTCGTGCCCCTAAGCTTCTGACATCTGGTTCTGGTTTTCATCTATCTAACTCCATTCTTGAGATTATTAATTAAGGAAGGACAGACAAACAACAGTGGAAATTTATAGGTTTACAATTTTTCAAATTGCAGTCCAATTAGTTAATTAAAAATGAATTTATTGATGATGTAAGTTAAAAAATTTTTTCCTAGACCAGACTGAACCGGAATTTATGAAATTTCAGCTTCTCTAAATTCATATTATTACAGTAGAACCTCCATTATCCGGATTTTCGATTATCCGGATTGTCCAAAATAAACAAAAATTTTACGAATTTGCTGATTTGCACTTGGCGAATTACGACACTATTTATGTACGTGATGGAATGCATAACTTTTTTGTTTCAACAACGTCTCACCCAGCACAGTGGTCGTAAACTCTTAAATATATTTTACGTCGTAATAAAAATATAACTTGACATACGTATTTATAAATAATTTATATTCAAATTACATCATTTCTATGACCAAGGGTGGCGTAAGGCATGGACGACGTGGGCCACCGCCTATGCCTCGCGGTCCAAGGGCCTCGCGTTTGAAGGTTTATGCATTACTTAAAAGCTGCGAACGCGACGAAAAAATTTTACTCGTCATAAAACGATAAATAGTTTGTCAAATTTTTATTCATAAAAATGCAGTTTCGACTGCTTTTTATTTTATAAAATCCATCTTCTTGCGCCACCAGAGGGCCTTTTAAACAATAAGTAGTCTGTTAGCGTTGGTCAGTAGTAGTCCAAATTCAATACGAACGTTTGTTTCTTAAAAATCTGATCACGATTTAAATACAGTATTTACTTTTAATATTACTGATATGTCATCGAAAAGAAAATGTGTTGTATTATCATTAAAAGACAAATTAAAGTATTTTTTTCGATTATCCGGATTTTTCCTTATCTGGACTACCTTCATCCCCAATTAGTCTGGATAATAGAGGTTCTATTGTAATATATTTTAACTCATAATAGAATCCAGTGATCACTCACCAGATGGGAGAGGGACCCTCCTTACTTGTTCCTCTCTTTAGCAATAACACATTAAAAAAATTTGTTTTGTCTTTTAAGTGTATGTGTTTAACATTAATTAGTCTGTAAGTTTACTCTGTTTTAAGTAGCTTTCCAGGTATTGGACATAAACTTCACTTCTCAGCTTACTTGAATCTAGTAGCAGCAAATAAGTAACTATATTAACATAAAGTAACTAACACATATTCTACCTTGGCCCCACTATTGGCCACAGTAAATAATAAGTAATTTTAAACTCCAAACAAATAGTAGAACTGGAAGAAGAAAAATACAGGCACACTGCTCCCCAAATAATGAGCACCTTTTAAGCCTTTGTCAATTTCACTTTACTATACTCTTCTTTTTCCATGGCAATTGGTTCCAGCACCTTTTCTTCTGCAATGCATTACTGACTTCCCATTCACATTGTAATGGTTTCTTCCCTTTGTTTTACTTACCAGAAGGTTATTAACACCGTACTGGTAGCTGACCCCTTTTTCTGGCATGCCAACAAGCTGCCCATGTGAAGTTTTACTGGTTCCTTCACATTCTCCTGAATAGGGGCCAGTTTCCCTTAAGTCCACACGGTACGCATTTACTGGCTTTGCTCATAGCAACACCAGTCCCCCTAAATTACTATTCTAAATTTGTTGGAGCTCTTTGTCATTGGATTCTCCATGACTGCCGCTTCACTTCATCAGTAGAACTGGAAAGTCCAAAAATTCAGTTTGGTTAGGTCAGGTTATCTTCTGACTAACACTTGACTTTTCTGTCAATCTTATTTTCTTCTTGGTACAATGGGAAAGGTAAGTATATAAGTACCAATATTATAAATAATACACACAATAAAGTTTACAGACCACACATAACATGTAATTTATGGGCCTTTCACAAAGGGACATTATGA